CATCATCCTTGCTCAGCTCTACCTATAAGAATAAAATGTAGACTCAGGACTGCTGACTCAGAGGGCAAATGCATTTACAACTTTGATAAATATTGCAGAATTGCCCTCTGTAGGGAATATAACACATTGAATTCCCACCGGCAACATACGAAGGTTTATTTTTCTTAAGGGAACCAAATAAAATACTTTTCTTATTGAAAACAAAAACATAGTCCTCATGGAGGACTGGGAAATACAATCACACAGCAGAAAGTAAAAATTACTCAGAATCAGAATGTGTGGAGACCTCCCAGATTTGCAATCTGGCATATTTCCCTCAAGTCTTGATTCATACCCTGCATACTGTTCCAGAACCCGATTTATTCACTCCACCAATATTTTGTGAACAGCGTTGTCTCATGTCAGTAAATATTTTTTTATTATACCTTCAGAGCGACAACGGAACAGAGATATTAATTAAGCAAATGGACCCGGGTTCAAATCTCGGCTCCATTGCTGTCTATCTGTGCAATGTTGGGCAAATTATGTAAGTATTCCAGGCTTCAATTTCTTCTTTGTGAAATGAGGATCATAAAAGCACCTACCTGTAGAATTATTGTGAGAGTTGAGTGCATCAGGACACATGAAACGAGCAAACAGAGCTTGGCACAGTAAACACTATAAATGTGGCCGGGCGCGGTGGCCCACACCTGTAATCCCAGCACTTTGGGAGGCCCAGGTAGGTAGATCACCTGAGATCAGGAGTTTGAGATCAGCCTGGCCAACATGGTGAAACCCCATCTCCACTAAAAATACAAAAATTCGCCAGGCGTAGTGGTGGGCGCCTGTAATCTCATATACTGTGGAGGCTGAGGCAGGAAAATCGCTTGAACCCAGGAAGCAGAGGTTGCAGTGAGCCAAGATTGCACCATGCACTCCAGCCTGGGTAAAAGAGCAAGACTCCATCTAAACACACACACACACACACACACACACACACACACACACACACCCCATCCACCCACACATACACCCATCTACCCCCCACACACACACAATAAATGTTAGCCGATGCTGCATCATTTTTGACTGCCTGGTATTTCCTTGGATGGATACGCCATAGTTTGTTGGATAAATTCCTTGTCGCTAGACATTTAGGTTATTTCTCTGTTTTCGGCAATACTTCGATGATGCAGCCTGGTGGATATAGCTTTATCCCGATCCCTTGTTTACCTCTGCTGAGGGAGGTGAGGGGACAAGTGTGGCCCGTCCCTCATGGCTGCTCAGGTTCTACCTTGATGTGCTCCTTTGGAACTCCCTGGAGTTGGTTTTCACACCCCTTTTCCTCTGGATTTGCCTTCCTTCCTGCAGGCTCGAGAGGCAGGGTCTGGGCTTTCTGGTGCCTCTCTCAGCCCTACCACCTGTGTCAACTGGGTCACTTCTCTTGTCTAAGAGAAGGCCAGAGCCTTAAAGCCATCAGTCTACCAATGAATGGATTTTACACATGTGGTCCAGCCATACAATGGAATATTATTCAGCAGTAAACAGGAATGAAGTCCTGATGCATACTATGACATAGATGAAGTTTGACAATATTATGCCAAGTGGAAGAATACAAAAGAGCAAAAATGAAACACAAAAAGACCAGATCTTGTATGATTCCATTTATATGAAATGCCCACAATAGGCGAATACGTAGAGATAGAAAGTAGGTTAGGGTTGCCAAGGGCTAGGTGGAGGGGAAATGGGCAGTGACTGCTCATCATTACAGGGTTGCTTTTTTTTTTTCTTTTTTTTCTTTTTTCTTCTTCTTCTTCCTTTTTTATTTTGTTTGAGATGGCGCCCCACTCTGTCACCCAGGCTGGAGTGCAGTGGCGTCATCTCGGCTCACCGCAACCTCCACCTCCCGGGTTCAAGAGATTCTCCTGCCTCAGCCTCCTGAGTAGCTGGGATTACAGGTGCGTGCCATCACACCCGGCTAATTTTTAGTAGAGATGGGGTTTCTCCATGTTAGCCAGGATGGTCTCAATCTCCTGACCTCATGATCCACCAGCCTCGGTCTCCCAACGTGCTGGGATTACAGGCGTGAGCCACCGTGCCTGGCCACTACAGGGTTTCTTTATGGGAGGATGGAATATTCTGGAATCTGATGGTAATGGTTGTACAACCTTGTGAATATACTAACCTCCCACTGAATTATTTACTTCCAAGGGGTCAATTTTATCTAATAAATAAATAGCAAAAGGCAACTGAGTAGACCTAGGGTTGGGGGGACGTGAGGAGCCACCACTGGTTTGTCACCCAGCAGAATCAAGTTTAATCTCTGTACTATGGCCTGCAAGGCCCTTTGCAAACCTTGCTGCTCATTAAAACCACCTGTGAAGCTTTAAAAAATCTCAGTTTCCAGGATGCACCCAGACCAAGTAAACTTAGTGAATTCAAAGGGCATCCAGGGCTGGGAGCTAGCCCCCGCATGGTCTTAAAACAACAACAACAAAACAAATGAAACTAAATATCTGGCCTGAATGGGGAGGACCCCAAGGCCCAGAGAGGTGAGTGCATTTGCTTAGTAAGTCATGGGCGGCCCTATTGTTACTGGAAAGGGGTCCTGATCCAGACCCCAAGAAAGGATTTTTGGGCCTCGTGCAAGAAAGAATTCGGGGTGAGTTCATACGGTAAAGTGAAGGCAAGTTTATTAAGAAAGTAAGCAAATAAAGTATGGTTACTCCATAGGCAGAGCAGTCCTGAGGGCTGCTGGTTAGCTATTTTTTCAGTTATTTCTTGCTTATATGCTAAACAAGAGTGGGTTATTCATGAGTTTTCCCGGAAAGGGGTGGGCAATTCCTGGAACTGAGGGTTCCTCCCACTTTTAGACCATATAGGGTAACTTCCTGATGTTGCCATGGCATTTGTAAACTGTGATGGCACTGGTGGGAGTGTCTTTTAGTATGCTAATGCATTATAATTAGCATATAGCGAGCAATGAGGATGACCAGAGGTCACTTTCATCGCCATCTTGGTTTTGGTGGGATTTGGCTGGCTGCTTTACTGCCTCTTGTTTTATCGGCAAGGTCTTTGTGACCTGTGCCGTGTGCCGACCTAGCTCATCCTATGACTAAGAACGCCTCACCTCCTGGGAATGAAGCCCAGTGAGTCTCAGCCTCATTTACACAGCCCCTATTCAAGATGGAGTCGCTCTGGTTCCAACACCTCTGACACTGCTAGGCAGACTCATTGCTTTGTGCACCAAAGCTTGGGCTCTGGAACCACGTGGGCCTGGGTTCAAATTCCAAATCTATCACTTTAACCTAATTGCCTAAACCTCTCTGGGCATCAGCTTCCTCATCCAGGCGAATAGTACCTGCTCCTCGGGGATCAGATGAGGCACCACATGCAGAGGGCTTCTCCTACTGTCTGGCACATCATAAGCCTTGTTTTAAGCATTTTATTAGCAATTTCTACTGCTTGGAGGGGAGTAAGGGAGTATGACTCTGACCCAATTTACCTGCCCCCACCATCTTTTTGAGAGAGGGCCTCACTCTGTCACCCAGGCTGGAGTTCAGTGACAGGATCCTAGCTCACTGTAGCCTCAGAACTCCTGGGCTCGGGCAATTCTACCGCCTCAGCCTCCTACAGGTGAGTGCCACCACACCCAGCTAATTTTTTAATTTTTTGTAGAGATGGGGGTCTCACTATGTTGCCCAGGCTGGTCTTGAACTCCTGGAATCAATCCATCCTCCTACCTTGGCCTCCCAAAGTGCTGGGATTGCAGGTATAAGCCACTGCACTTGGCTTCAATTTACCTGTCCTTTTATACCTTCAATAATCATAAGAATTTTTGAGCTTTTGACTATTCCAGGTACTCTACAGGGTACCACCTCCATAAGGCCGATACAGGGAGCAAGGCATGGGAAAATGGGTGTCTTGCTCTAGGTCCCCTGATTGAACCCTGAGTCCTCTTCTATATGGATGTATACAGGGGTGGGAGGTAGGAATAGGGCGGCCCAGCCTCTCTAACTCTCCCAGTGGTAGCTTCTCTGGGGTGGGAAGCACTTCCTTTCTTTGTCCATAACACCAAGCATAAACCCTGGCACCTTAAAAGGAGCTCAAGCAGCCGAGTGCGGTGGCTCACGCCTGTAATCCCAGCACTTTGGGAGGCCGAGGCGGGTGGATCACTTGAGGCCAGGAGTTTGAGACCAGCCTGGCCCAACATGGCGAAAACCCGTCTCTACTAAAAATACAAAAATTAGCCGGGCGTTGTGGCGCACATCTGTAATCCCAGCTACTCAGGAGACTGAGGCAGGAGAATCGCTTGAACTCTGGAGGCAGAGGTTGTGTTGAGCTGAGACTGTGCCACTGCACTCCAGCCTGGGCGAGAGTGACATCCTGTCTCAAAAAATAAAAATAAAATAAAAAGGAGCTCAAGCAATGTTCGCGGAGCTCTGCCAGGGCTGTAGAGCAGCTCCGCTGCTGGCGAGAGGTCACGCGCTGCAGCTGCAGTCATCCGTGTGGCCACGAGGGGTCTCCACGCTCCACCGAATGGCTGGAGGGTCTCTCCTAAGGCTCCGCGGCAGGCCATGGCTAACTCGCAGCCCCTGGACACTGGGCACGAGGGTAACAGGGTGGGACGCCAGGCTCTGGCCTCCCGGGGTGCCATTCGTCCTCCCTGCTGTCCTCCTCTGGGGTCAGGTTACAGATCACCGTGAGGTCCTGCCTCAGGCTGTCATAGCCTGTCAGGGGCTGGGGGCCTGCTTCATAAGGGCTGAACACCTACTGTGTGCTCCTTCTGCCTGCTCTGAGGCTGTCGTGGCCTGTCAGGGGCTGGGGGCTTCACACTGGCTGAACACCTGCTGTGTGCTCCTCCTGCCTGCTCTGAGGCTGTCGTGGCCTTTAAGAGGCTGAGGGTGTGCTTCACTACTGTGTGCTCTTTCTGCCTGCTCCTTTTCTTTAAACCCCACTGCCACAACCGTGGAAGCAGGTGTTGATTTTATTTTTCTTTTCTTTCTTTCTTTTTTTTTTTTAAATAAGCCTTTATTTCCTTGTTTTGCAAATAAAGCTGGCTAAGGTGGTTGCTTTTTGGTGATTAGTCGAAGAGACCAAATCCCATATCCTCATCCAACTCCTCCGACTCTTCCTTGGCTTCAACCTTAGCTGGGGCTGCAGCAGCAGCAGCAGGAGCAGCCGTGGTGGCAGCGGCCACAGGGGGAGCAGCCACAAAGGCAGATGGATCAGCCAAGAAGGCCTTGACCTTTTCAGCAAGCAGGAAGGTGTCATCAGTCTCCACAGACAAGGCCAGGACTCCTTTGTACCCGTTGATGATAGAATGGGGCACTGATGCAACAGTTGGGTACCCGATCTGCAGACAAACACTGGTAATATTGCAGACACACTCCAGGAAGCGAGAATGTGGTTTCCTCTGTGACGTCAAGCACTTCAGGGTTGTAGATACTGCCATTGTCGAACACCTGCTGGATGACCAGCCCAAAGGAGAAGGGGGAGATGTTGAGCATGGTCAGCAGCTTAGCTTCACTGGCTCCCACTTTGTCTCCCGTCTTGATCAGCTGCATATCACTCAGGATTTCAATGGTGCCCCTGGAGATTTTAGTGGTGATACCTAAAGCCTGGAAAAAGGAGGTTTTCTCGGGCCCCAGACCAGTATTCTGGGCTGGCACAGTGACTTCACATGGGGTAACGGCACCAGCATGGGTGGCAGCTGGCACCTTACTGGCCAGTAGCATGTCCGTGATCTCAGTGAGGTCCTCCTCGGTGAACGCAAAGCCCACTTTCCCCTGGAAACGAGGCAGCAGTTTCTCCAGAGCTGGGCTGTTTTCCAGGTGCCCTCGGATGGCCTTGCGCATCATGGCGTTCTTGCCCATCAGCACCACGGCCTTCCCACGGAGGGACATGCGGATCTGCTGCGTCTGCCTGGAGCCCACATTGTCTGCTCCCACGGTGAAACATTTCGGATAATCATCTAATAGTTGGATGATCTTAAGGAAGTGGTTGGGTTTCCAGGCTGCCTTGTCCTCCCTAGGCATCACCGCAGTGCGTCAGGGATTGCCGCGCAGGATTTAAAGACTATGTCACTTCCACGAGGACGCCTGGAGAGAGGCAGGCGTTGTTTTCTATGCTGCCTGGGGAGTGAAGAGAGGTGGGGTTGGTAGGGTTGGGACTCCAACTCAATTCTGCCTCGTTTCAAAGCCTGTGTTCTTTTGGGGTCTCTCTACTCCTGTTAGCACCCCCAGGGCATCTCAGGCCTGGCTTCTGGACAAGCCGACTGGGCCTGAATCTCACACACCCAGTTGCTCACATAGTCACACCCACGCACACTGACACATATGTGGGCCCCACACCCCATCCACACCTGGAACCTCAGAGCTCAGCAGGGATTTGATACTCAGTTCTTCAAACCAGCTTCTCATCGAGGGGGTGGGCGGGGAGGAGTTATAAGAGCAATTGCTGTAATCCAATCGTCTCTGTTCTTCTTGTTTTCTTCTCTCAGAATATACTTTGCATTAAGGCCTTGTCTTCTTGGTTCCCATGAGAACGCTGTGCTTTTTCTTAAATGAAGGTCCGTGGATCGTTTTTTCCTGTTATTACAAAAGCAATTTGTGCCACTGCAAAAAAACACAGAGAAGCCAAGAGAACAAAAACTCCTCCCTCCACTCCTGCAGGGACAGCCCAGGCTGACAGGTGTGGCACCGTCCTCCCCACACCCCTCCTCCCCAGCACAGCCTCCTCCTGCCATGGACCCCTGGCGTCCTCATGAGGCCTGAGCTGCTTCTTCCAGATGGGGCTTCCAGGCTGGGAGTCAGAGGCTGGGTCTTCGTCCGGCCCCATCACTGGGGCCCACATGTTCTTGGCAGGTCCTCCCCATTTTGGGGTGGGAAGGGGATGATCTCAAAGGGTCTTCTGCTCTCATACTCAAGGATCCTGTTCTCTTATTCCAGACAGATGTATCTGGGGCTGGGCTGAGCAGCAGCTATTAGGAGTTCCTAGGTAATAAGGGGCTCTCCCAGAATAATCTGGAGACCAGGGGAGGCATGGAACCCAAAGCCTCACTCATTGCCAGCATTGAGCAGACAAGCAACCCTCCCAAGGACAGACAGCTGAGCCCATTATAAAGAGTCTGGGCCGGGCACGGTGGCTCATGCCTGTAATCTCAACACATTGGGAGGCCAAGGCGGGTGGATCATGAGGTCAGGAGATCAAGACCATCCTGGCTGGCTAACGTGGTGAAACCCCGACTCTACTAAAAATACAAAAAACAATTAGCCGGGCGTGGTGACGGGTGCCTGTAGTCCCAGCTACTCGGGAGGCTGAGGCAGAAGAATGGCATGAACCTGGGAGGCGGAGCTTGCAGTGAGCCGAGATCACTCCACTGCACTCCAATCTGGGTGACAGTGCGAGACTCCATCTCAAAAAAAAAAAGATTCTGGTGTCCTGTGTCCCAATCACAGCCAGCCTCATGGTTGTGTAGCCTTTGCAGCTGCGAGGGCCCTACACTCCAAAGGGCTCGAGCTTGATTTAATGCTCTGCTGTCGCCACCTTGAAATTCTTCATGATGTGTGAGCAAGGGCCCCGCAAGTTCATTTTGCACTGGGCTCTGCAAAGTATGTAGCTGTCCCTGTTCCTAATAATGATAATACCTGTTACTGACACACAGCTTACTGTGTAGCTGGCACTGCATATTCTTCCCATATACTGTGTAATTCACCTGTCCCTCACAGGAGCCAGGTGTAAATTGCCTCTCTTAGATTTGGCCAGCCCATGTGATAATGTGAACTGGGTGCTAGGCACTTTAGATATGTGACGCTCTGAAGGCTCTCAGCCGTACAAGAAGCCATTGTAAGCCAGGCACCGTGGCTTACGCCTGTAATCCCAGCACTTTGGGAGTCTGAGGCAGGTGGATCACCTGAGGTCAGGAATTCGAGACCAGCCTGGCCAACATGGGGAAACCCTGTCTCTACTAAAAATACAAAACTGAGCTGGGCACGGTGGCAGATGCCTGTCATCCCAGCTACTTGGGAGGCTGAGGCAGGAGAATCGCTTGAACCCAGGAGGTGGAGGTTGCAGTGAGCCGAGATTGTGCCACTGCACTACAGCCTGGGCAACAGAGCAAGACTCCGTCTCAAAAAAAAAAAAATTATAGATGAGGCACATTATAGATGAGGCGTAAAGTCTGGGGAGGTTAAGCAACTCACCTGCAGCTGTAGAGCTAGTGAGGAGCCCACAGACCCTCCCCTTCCTGCCCGGCTGGCCAAGGGCCATCCCAGGAGCTCTGCAGCCCCCATCCTGCCCTGGCCACCATCCCAGCTGTGGTGGGCACCTGGCAGTGCCTAGAAGGGTGAGAAGCTCCACCCACACTGTCAGTTCCCATTTCCACCACCTCCTGATCTGCCAGCAGTTGGTGCACTTCACCACCTCCTGTGCCCAGGTCTGCAGTCAGCTCCCCACTTGGGGCATGGAGCTGTGGGGCCAAGAAGTGTCCGTCTCCATTTCTCCCCACCGTGCTGAACTCCTGAGCATTCTTTTTTTCTTTTTTCTTTTTTTTTTTTTTTGAGACAGAGTCTCACTCTGTTGCCCAGGCTGGAATGTGGTGGCGCAGTCTCGGCTCACTGCAACCTCCACCTCCTGGGTTCAAGTGTTTCTCCTGCCTCAGCCTCCTGAGTAGCTGAAACTACAGGCATGTGCCACCAAGTCTGGCTAATTTTTGTATTTTTAGTAGAGACGGGGTTTGACTCTATTATCTATTGACTCTATTTTGTATTTTTAGTTCGAGGCGAGTCTCGAACTCCTAACCTTGTGATCTGCCTGCCTCGGCCTCCCAAAGTGTTGGGATTATAGGCAAAAGTCCCCGCACCCGGTCTGCTCCTGGGCATCCTAAGCTGCAGGTGTGGCTCCAAGGACTCTGGTTCATCAGTGCTGGTTTCATTCATTTATTTATTGAGACAGGGTCTCTGTTGTGCAGGCTAGAGTGCAGTAGCACCATCACAGCTCACTGCAGCCTCAACCATCCAGACTCAGGCTGTCCTCCCACCTCAGCCTCCCAAGTAGCTGGGACCACAAGTACACACCACTACGCCTGGCTAATTTTTATATCTTTTGTAGAGACAAGGTCTTGCTGCGTTGCCCAGACTGGTCTTGAACCCCTAGACTCAAAAGATCCTCCGGCCTCAGCCTCCCACAGGGCGGGGATTACTCAGCCCCCAGTGCTGGTTATTGCTGAGGTAGCCCAGACAGAGAAGGTTGATACCACAGTGAGCCCAGGCAGCTGGAATTGGAGTGGACAGAACAGCAATAGGAGACCCTCACACACCCAGGCTGACTTTCTCAGCATCTCTGTGCAGGGTCCCCAAACTTTTTGGCATCAGGGACCTGTATAAGGAGTGCATAAGAACAGGAGCGGTGGCTTACACCTGTAATCCCAGCACTTTGGGAGGCCGAGGTAGGTGGATCAGCTGAGGTCAGGAGTTTGACACCAGCCTGACCAACACACAGAAACCCTGTCTCTACTAAAAAAAAAAATACAAAATTAGCCAGACATGGTGGCAAGCACCTATAATCCCAGCTTCTCGGGAGGCTGAGGCAGGAGAATTGCTTGAACCCAGGAAGCGGCGGTTGCGGTGAGCCGAGATCGCGTCGTTGCACTCCAGCCTGGGCACCAAGAGCGAAACTCTGCCTCAAAAAAAAAAAAAAAAAAAAAAAAAAAAAGAGTGCATAATGTAGATCCTTCACAGTAGGGTTCATGCACCTGAGAATCTACTGCTGCTGCTGATCTAACAGGAGGCGGCACTCAGGCAGTAATGAAAGTGATGGGGAGTGGCTGTAAATATAGATGAAGCTTCTCTCGCTTGCCCTCCACTCACCCCATGATGTGTGGGCCAGTTCCTAACAGGCCACAGACCAGTACTAGTCCACAACCTGGGAGCTGGGGACCCCTGGGATAAAGAAACCAGCCCAGCAGTTAAGAATTTGAGGTTTGGGAATATACCATCCTGAGTTCAAGCCCCAGGCCCAGCACTTAACAGCCATATGACCCTGGGCAGATTGCAAAACTGAACTTCAGTGTCCTCCATAAAAACAGCAAAAATGGAGGCATTCTAGTTAAGGACTCAGGCCCAGCAGAACGACAAGAGTTCAAATCCCACCTTGAGCACTTATTAATTATGGGAGCTTATACAAGTTATTTTACTTTTCTGAGCCTTGGTTTCCTTGTCTGCCAAATGCAGATAATCTTTGCAGCAACTTCATGGGGTTTTGTGAGGACCAAATGACCTGGTGCCTGCAGAGTCCTTTTCTCAGTCCCTGGCATTTAGTAAGTGCCTAATAAGTTGTTGCGACTAGTGCAAACAGATGGGATTTGCTGGGACGTCACGAGAGCAGGTGCCCTGCCGGAAGGGTCTGTGGCAGGCCAAGCAGTGGAATAAGAAAGCCAAGCACAGGCCCATCTTCCCATAGCCAGGCAGCCCTGGGAATTGGTGGCTGAGGCCTGGGAGGGCTGCTTGTGACTGAGGTCCAGGGACTAAGCCACCAGGATGCCATTGACAGGTCCGTGGGGACAGCTTCGTTTAATGGGAACTGAGGCAGTGGGATGAGAGAGACAAAACCAGGCTCACATCAGCATGGGCCGCCTCCCAGCCTCTCAGCTACCTCTCCTGCTACCTCTCCTCTCTGGGGTCAGGCCTCCCTCCCTCAACTCCTGCCAGATGCCACTCTGTAAACCCTGGAGCTGTGCTCCCACGTCGCAATGCACCGCGCACACGAATTCCCCGAGGAACTTCTTAATGCGCTGATTCAGATTCAGCCGTGGGGGTGGCCCGAGACCCTGCATTTCTAATCAGCTCCAAGGAATGCGAGGCCACGCTTTGAGTAGCAGCATCTAAAACATGATATAAATGTAGGTCATGAACATTAATAATAATGTGGGGTGTGGAGTTACTACCTGATCTGACTCTAGTAGACTTTGGGAGAAGCCTGCCTAGGAGAAAATTCTCCCCAGAGGTCAAAAGGAACCCCCACCCCAGGTTCTGGGGGTGCTAGGATCTGATTTTGCTCCTAAGAGCAAAGACACAGGCAGAGGGTACCTTTCAGCTTGAGCCAGGTGGACAGTGGTTCCCAAACTGCAGACCACACACCAGCTGCACAGAAGTACTTGGCGATTCGTTTTTTGTTTGCTTGTTTGTTTGTTTTTTGAGATGGAGTTTCGGTCTGTCACCCAGGCTGGAGTGCAGTGGCACGATCTTGGCTCACTGGAACCTCTGCGCCCAGCTAACTTTTGTATTTTTAGTAAA